ACTGTCACATGGGTTTCTTTTCATTTGGGAAGATGACAAATGTTTAATCTAGGTGAAAATTGTATGACAATGTGAAGGTACTTAATACCAATGAATTACATACATGACAAGTTACAATGAAGAGAAAATGTTTTCCATGTGTCACCACAATTAAGTTTTGTTTTGTTTTGTTTTTTCACTTTCAGCTCTCTACCATACTGTAGGGGGAACAAAGTTCCAGTGTAGTAAGATGTTATCCAGAGGAAGTGAGCAATGCCTCCCCTGTACACTGGAGGCATTACTGAGCTTTTTTTGCCCCTCTGGAACATTGAGCTTTCTGGGTCCAGGAGCCATCACAGGGCTAGCTAAGTCCACATACTTCAGCAGTGATTCCAATTCAGTTTCCTCACTACCATATAGCATCTGGATGAGAGACCCTGAACTGGCAAATGAAGATAGGGTTGCTCCGGAAGAAGAGGATAAGCGCAATCACAAGGAAGAAGAAATACGGGACCTTGGCCATTCTCTTGAGTTTGTTCAGTGTGATCCACTGAGATTAGGGCCAGAGGGGAGCAGAGGAGAAACTCTCAGGGGTAATGGTCTGCCAATATTAACTGGACCTCTGAAAATGGGGACTGAGCCATGTGTGGGGAAAGCCCAAGAATATTTCCCAATAACTTAAAGAACAATATCTACCACAAAGTGTGGTATCACTGTCAAAGATACAATAAATCAACTGCAGAAACTGTGAAAATGTTCATGGTTCCATGTGACAGGAAGTGTTTAATTGATAACCAACTGCCTGAGGGGTAATGTTATCATCTGTCATCTTTGATTTTTTTTCTGCTTATGAAACTTCATAAAGCTACTTAGCAGATATATTGCAATCCAACATGTAAACCTAGAGTTATTTAATTACTCATTTTCCAACTTTGCTGCATCTAAATATATTTCACAAGGCGAGAGGAGATAATGATAAATTAACAAGGATAACAAGTCAACAATATCTCTTATAAGGAACACTCATTCCTTCAGATATTCCAGGTTGGTGTAATGACTGGTCCTGCAGACATGAAAATCAGCATAAGCATTATGTCCAGCTTCACATAAAATTCCAGAAATCTTCCTGTATCTATACTAAATTATAAAAAGAACCAAGAGAAGTGATCAAAAGTGTCAGGCTGACTGTATTCTAAACTGAAGCATACTTTCCATGGTGATACTGATCAATTTCACATCCCCAGTTATGCAAATAAAATTTCTTTGTAGAACAAATAATGCCTGTTATCTTATCTTGGGAGGCTGAAAATGTAAGGATTACGTGGAGAGGCCAGCCTAAGCAGAAAAGTTCACTTTCTCATGGAAGAGCTGGTTGTAGTATACCTGCTATCCTATCTACGCAAGATCATGCCCAATCATGCTCCTGGACAGTAAGTAAGGTTCTATCTCCCAAAAAATGAACAGCAAATATCAGGTCTAGAAACATGGCTCAACAGTAAGAGTACCAACCTTAATTTATTTGCACCAGCAAATAAGAAGACCCAAGTTCAAACCCCAGTACCACATACGGAGAGGGAAAAAGAGAGAAAGCTGTGCTGATGATCACACCTATAATCCTAGTTATTCAGGAGGCTGAGAGCTAAGAATCACAGCCAGCCCAGTCAAACAAATCCTCAAGACTCTTATCTCCAAGTAACAACAAAAAGCCAGTTGTTAGTGACAGAGGTAGGAGATAAGGAAGCCAACTGAAGCTATGGTTCAAGTGGTAGAATGTCGGCAATGAGCAAAAAGGCCAAGAGCAAGCATGGGGTCCTGAGTTCAAGAGCCATTATTGGTACAAAAAGTTCTGAGGTCAAGAACCAGTACTGGTACAAAAGAGAGAGAGGGAGGGGATGGAAAAAACAAAGTGATTGCATTCATTTTGCCTTATAGTCTTTGACCTTTGAAATCAATATTAAAATCAATATTAAAAATAATATATTTTTAAAGCATGTTACGCAGAAATTCGACCAGCAAGATACAGAGGTATACTCTTTAAGAGGTGGAATTGGGAGCCTTTACTAAAATGCTAGCATCTGCAAAGAATGACCTATTTCCTCTCTAGAGTTTTTCCAGAAAGTCCATCCATCCTCTATTAAGGTGCCAAGATGGTAATGAGGACAAGATGACATTACTTAGCCCCAGTGTCCATACTTCAATTACAGTCAAAAGCCAATAGTTGATAAGCCCCTGTCTATATGAAGTACAAAAGAAACTATGACTGACTCCTTCCCCGGGTAAAGGAAGCCACAGTGGAAGAGCTTTACTTATTATCACAGTCATCACTAGAGGACCAGAATCCTGTGGTATGAGGGGGGAAACAGACAGCAAATAATAAGACAAGTCGCAAAGCTATCTTTCCTCTCTGCATCTCTACTATCAAGTACCCAACTAGTTCCATATTGAGGTGTTTAGAACCTTTGAAATTTCAGAGTTCAGAACAACAATATCAGACCTAAGATAGTATAATAAACTCACCTCATATGAAATCACTGATTCACCTCAGGTGAAATACATCTGTCAGGTAGAATCCTTCTAGAAGGTCATTTTTTTTCTGTCATTTCCTTATCTCCTACCTCTGTCACTAACATCTCATTAACATTTCACTCCCAATGGGGCTGGGAAGGTGGCTCAGTGGTAGAGCGCTTGCCTTGCATGCATGAGGCCCTGGGTTTGATTCCTCAGCACCACATAAGCAAAAAGAAAAAAGCC